ATCCCTTCTTCTGGTACTTGGGATATTTACCATCTGCACTATAAGTCAGGGCGTGTCCAATATTAGGTTTTAAATTAATCGTTACTGCGTCTCAGGGTAACATCACTAGGATTTAACTTCCACTTTTTAAATGATGCCTTTTTATCTGTCACTGCTTCTTTTACTTGGTTGTTAAGCCACAGTGGCACTTTTTTGGTTCTCTCATTGTGGTTTTTAATACGGGGTGAGCCTCTATTGTGGTGTCTTTGAAAGTGTCCATGCGGCTTGCAGGGATTTTACTTTTGTCGCTGGGCCTGTTCATTTCTGCTGCTGTTGCCTCTTTGGCACCAGCCTCTGTCTGTGCAGCCAGGCAATGTTCCTTGCAGCGGTTTCTCGGGGCCTTCCACCTCCTGAGTCGGTCGACTATTGGTCTGCTCAGCTGCTGGCCCAGGACCCCACAGAGGACTTGGCTTGCTAGACGAGACCTCCACTGCCTTCCTAATCCAGCACCAACTGAGTGACGGGGTCCTCCTTTTATATCTCCTGTCCTGCCCTTGCACTTCCTGCCAGGGGGCAGGGAGAGTTTGGCTCTGCCCATCGGGGAATGTTGTAGTCCACGCCTCTTAGGCCTGGAGAGAGACAGTGCGGGCTATGAGAGCAAAGACAGCCACTGATGGCACCAACTTTATTCTCTACAGCTTCCGCTGCTTCCCTAGCCCTGTGAAGGTGTGTGGAGAAATGCCTAGTTTCTCTATGAGGTGGAGTCCTCGTACAGCTGGCAATCCTAGCAGGGGACTTGTTCCTCCTCGTGTTACATAGATCATTGTCCTTTCTAGAGTTTCCCAAGGAGCTTCCTTGGGAACATTCAAGGCGTTGTTCCTAGCCCCACAGAGCATCTTGCTTGGCCTTGGCAGATATCCATCCCTGGAGGGATTCTCGCCTTTCTGGGTGTGTTTTAGTTTCTGTGACTCCGGCCCCAGTGTAAACTCCCAGCTGTTTCAATCCAGGCTTGTGTACCCAGGGTGGTGTCAGTTCTATTGAGAATACGTTTCTTAGAAATGTGGCGTTATTGTTGCCCCGTGATAACACGCCCTCTTGGACCGGTTCCAGAAACCCTGGTGACCTGCGTGCTACTGCCAAAAGTCCCATTTTGTGGCATCTCCTACAGTCTGTTCCTTTTGCTGGCCATTGCTGCCAGTGGTGGCCTGGTGTCTTCCCATATCTTAAGAACATAAGGTCCATCCAGCCCAATATCCTGTCTGCCGACAGTGGCCAATAGCAGGTGCCCCAGAGGGAGGGAACACAACACGTAATCATTACATGATCCCTCCCTTGTCACCAATTTCCAAACAAAGGTTAGGAACACCATTCATAGAATCATAAAATCATAGAATACGAGGACTTACCAATTTCCAAACAGAGGCTAGGGACACCATTCATAGAATCATAAAATCAGAGAATACGAGGACTGGATGGGACCTCAAGAGGTCATCAAGTCCAGTCCCCTGCCCTCATGGCAGGACCAAGTACTGTCCTTCCCATCCTGGCTAATAGCCATTGATGGACCTAACTTCCATGAATCTATCTAGTTCTTTTTTGGAACCCTGTTAAAGTCCTAGTCTTCACAACATCCTCTGGCAAGGAGTTCCACTGGTTATCTCTGCCCTGGGTGAAGAAAAACTTCCTTTGGTTTGTTTTAAACCTGCTGCCTATTCATTTCATTTGGTGACCCATGGGTCTTATATTATGGGAACAAGTCAATAACTTTGAAATATCTGGTAAAGATTTTCCACGGCTTCTCCAACCTTCTCGCCTCGTCAGTTTCTTGGCTCATCCACTCTCTAGCTGTGAGCTCTGTTCTTTGCTCCTTTGACAATTGCACCTGTTCTCTGTACTGCGTCAATGCTGTTTGATACAGTGTGGCTAGCATGTAAGTCACACCCCCATTTCTCTGTGGTCTCTTGCATTCTCACTTCTGCTGTAGCTGTTTCTGTGTCTCACCGGCACTGTGCTGAGAAACTAGTGTAGCAATGGGCAACCCAGACTAGTGAGCGGGCTGCAGGAGCAGCCTCCTTCACCTCAGGTGCCGCAAGATTGTCGCAGCCAAGATGCTCTCCTGGGAGAGGGGAGTTTTGCGCATCTAGAATTTGCGGGATGGCTCTGTAACAGCGCTGTGATTGGCTGCAGAGGCAGAGCACGGCTCTCTCAGCCAATGCGATGTGCAGTCAGCACGTCCCTCGCTTCACGGGTCTGTGCTTTACATGCTTGTCACTCCAGTCATGCTGGTTGGGAAAAAATCTACACAGACAAAACCCAGCAGAATCTGACAACCCTATGCACAGGCAACGAGAACAAAACGTCTTGTGGGCCGCAGGTTGTCTACAGCTGAACTAGTGTCTCTTATGCAAACTACTCTCCTGTCTCTTATTAGTGCTTGGTTTAACATTCCACATTTGCAATGTTCCGCACATATTTTAACATCCCACAAGTGCTAGACTTCAGTGGCTAGAGAAAAGGGCCTTGAATATCCTAGGCCGTACATATTGGCCTTCTTGTAGCCGGCCGGCTTGACTTTGTCACACTTGCAAGAAATTGTAGTGCCAGATGGTTTTTTTGTTTGTGTTCATGCCATTTTCTGCACTGTGTTTTTAATAAATACACCCTGTTTTAGAGAAAACAGCTGCTGTGTGTTTGTTGGTCCTCCTTTGAAGGGAGCAAGGAACAAAAGCAACTTGCATCCACAAGGAATTGATAGGCCTGCTAGCATATCGTAGACAGTCAGCTGTGAACCACGCCAAGTCAGGACCTTTTACTGGGAGGAAGGATCAAAGCAGCGATGCCAGAAACATCAGGGAGCGTGCATCATGATGCAGTGTTTTGATTGAGATGCTCGACTTCAGATCTTGTCGCAATGCCTATTTGTAATACAGGTAGTCCCCGACTTACGAACGAGTTACGTACCAAACGCTTGGTCGTAACTCGATCGGTTTGTAAGTTGGACTCCATTCTTTTAAATGTGACCACGCTGTTCGTAAGCTGTTTGCGCTTCATGGGAGGTTGGTCGTAAATATGAACAGTCGTAAGTCGACACGTTCGTAACTCGGGGACTACCTATAGTCCAAATGCAGGAAACCTGGTTTCATCACTGAATTCTGGTTTCATGGACTCTAATATTCCCTGGGCCAATACACTTGGATTCTCCTCTGACTTGGCAAATGTGGTGGCTGACCAGAAAAATTCAGTCTGAAGCAACGTCAAGGAAAGGCTCTGAATATTACCCTCTTTGGGGGTGTCTCATGTGCTACTTGATAGCTAATGCTACAGTCAAAGCCATCTCCGAAACATGATAGTTGATAACTTCTCTCATTGCAATGGATGTGCAAAACCAAAGAGAAGTCTATCAGCAGTGGTGCAACGCAGATGGATTGACCTTGAGGAAGCCAGGCCAAATTGGGTGACTAGCTCTACAGTCGGTTAAAGAAAGAAGCAAGCAGCAGTGGCCACTTCTTGCATATTTCAACAGAACTTCCGAAGTGGAGAAGCAAGTGGAGATCATGCTTGAACGGCAGCTCTGTGATCTCTGTTTGGAATATGCCCCGAGTGGTGGAGGCAACCTACGCTGGGCTTTAGAATGGCGGGAAAGAATTCTGTGCTGCAGCAGCTGAGTTGTTGAAGAAGCTGCTCTTGAAGAACCAAACTCCAGGATTGAGGAGTGGGGTATCCTGGGAAGAGAGGACTATGATGATGAGACTGTTGATTATCTCCTTAAGACGTCTCCCACAGAAGAAAGAGAGAGTCTCTCCCGAGTGGAGTGCATGTCAAATGATTTCTGTGCCCTTTCAGCTTGACTGTGAACCAATGATAACTACTTTCTTGGAATGGTTTTCCAATCAGTTAAGTATCAAAAGCCTTACTAACGTCAAAATATGCCACCTCTACCGCTTCCCCCTCCCCACAAGGTTGGTCACCCTGTGAAAGAAAGCTGATAGGCTGACTTGACGTGATTTGGTTCTTGACAAAGCCATGCTAACTCTCACTTGCCTCTTAGTATTTTTGTATTACTTCCCGAGAGTACTACCTAACACCTCCATCAGAGCGTTGCTACCCAAGGATTCAATTGATTATTGTCGTAGGGTAACTGGGCCATTAAAAGAAACTGGGCTCAGCTGTCCTGTTCCTCTCCGTGTGTTTCATGGGCCAACTCAGAGTCTGGGGCAGGCGGCCCCATCAGGAATCGGTGCGGAGTGGGTCAGCCAGGAGAAGAACGGGGGATGAGAGTTGCTAGAGCCAGGCGGTGGCTCCTGGGGGGAGGCTGTAGAGCAGCCAGAGGGGTTTACTGGCTGGCACCCCCAAGCTAGGACGAGAGGGCTGAAGGCCAGGGAGCAACCGTGGGGTTACCCCTGCTGGCTCTGAGCCTGGCCAAGGGGGAGCAGCAGAGACGCCCCCTTCCTGGAGTGTTGGAGCCAAAGGAAGAGCGAGGGAGCCAGGGAGGTGAGGGATGCTCGTCCAGCCAGGATGCTCCCAGCGGTGGCTGTAGGAGCCCTGCTGGCAAGAGCAGGGAGCCCCCCAGAAGGAAGGGCTGGGGCAGCTCTCCTGGTTACAGGACAGACGAGGCTGGAGAAGGAGCCAAGATTTGACTGAAGCCATGTGGGGTGGAGGGCAGAGAGGGGGAGTCTAATGCGATCAAAGACGACACGCACAAGGGGGCCATGGACTGTGTTTGGGGGCTGCTGCTCCAGCCCCTTTGCCCAAGGCAGTTGCAATACACTGGCCTCTTGTTTATGTAACAGCCGGAGGTGGGGCCTTTGGGTAACGCCACAGGGAACGGAGGTAAAAGGCCATGTGCCGGGCTGCCAAGAGGCCAGGACAGGATGCCTGGGAGGAGACCGTGTGTTCGCGACGATTCTCCCTGCACAGGCTGCGTGTTGAAAGCAATCAGGGGTGAGGTCTTGGCAAGGCACCAGGGCAGGTTGGCTGCATAAATAGCCCTGCAGAACCCGCGCTCGGAGCGAGGAGCGAGCCGAGCAAATCCTGTGCCAGCCAGAACTTTGGAGCTAGTAGGTACGGCTTTGACTGGGGGACTATTGGCTCAGGCAGGGCCGAGAGGGGGCATGTGGGTCAGGCGTCAGGTATCGGTCAGGGTGCTAATGGAGAGAAGGATCTGGTGTTAGAACAGGCTGGCCGGTTCAGAGGGGAAGAGGAGACCATGTTCAGGAGCCGGCTGGTAGGACGAAGGAGACTGTATTGCAGTCTAGTCCAGTAGACTGTGCAGGTAGCTAATAGCTAAGAGTTCCTATTCGAAGAGGTCAATTGCTTAAACCTTTGCCAATCTGTAGCTGTTTGGGCTGCAAGCTGCCCCCCCCTAGGGTGAGTTCTGGGCTCCGTTTTGGCAAGGTTCAGCGAAAACTCTTCACCCCTTGCCAAGGCTTGGGGAAAATGCTTTTGTCAGAGAGGGAGTATTGTGCTATTGTGGGGAACTTTCCTGGCTCCTGCAAAACCTTGGAGGAGGTGGACAATGAAAGTCCTCACCCGTCTCCTCTCCCGGACTCCTCGTCCACCTTCCCATGCGGCAGCGCCAGGACAAGTCTGGGTTCAGCATACACGCGTGGGGGGGGGGGTATTATCCCAAATCTGGTGTGGTCACATAGGCCACGGGCTAGTGAGCCCCCATTCTGGGCTATTCTCTCCACGCCAGCCACTTCCCTGCTGCTGCATTACGTTGCAAGTGCAATTTTTTAAAGAGCAGCTATAAGAAAAACAAGGGCACAGTGGACAAGGTTAAAGGAACATGGCACCATCCCATGAGCAGCCGCCTCTGTGGCGTAGGGGTGATTCCTGTGACGTAGTGGGGGTACCTGGCTGGTTTCTATGCTGCTGGCTCTGGGGTACCCCCCACTGGCTGCCGTGGGGACCACGACCCAGCAAAACAGGATGAGTCACTATGCAAACCAGTATGGCCAGACACCCCCCATGGAGAGGAACAAAGGGAGGTGGATGCTGCCCTGGCTGGGGGGGCAGGGCTGACAGAGAGGTAGTTAGTTGGTGTCTGGGAGCATGGAGGAGACAGCCTAGGGAAAGGGGCTGGATTTTAGGGGCCCAGTTTCCCCCCATCTCAAGGGGGCCTGAGGCATCCTAGCCCAGCTCTGTGACCAGATTACATCTGTGCTGTGCTGTACCCTGGAGAGGCAATAAACTTCCTCTATTCCACCGGCTGGTGCAGTCTGTTTATGCCATTTCGGGGTGCAGGAGACGGGGGACGGGGGACCCCCAACGCGCCGTCACAATGCCAAACTGCTCAAGAGAGTTAAGGCCAAAGCCGACTGTGAAGAGCTTCCAAAAGATCTCCCCAAACTAAGTGACTGGGCATCAAAATGGCAAATGCCATTGAATGCTGATCAATGTAAAGTAATGCACATTGGAAAACATCATCCCAACTAGACATGCAATACGATGGGGACTAATTTAGCTCTTGGAGTTATTGTGGAGAGTTCTCTGAAAACATCCCCTCCGTGTGCAGTGGCAGGCAAAAAAGCCAATGAAATGTTAAGAATCATTCAGTCAAAGAATATTTTATTGCCGCTGTATAAAATCCCGGGACGCCTACGTCTTGAATACTGCGTGCAGATGTGGTCGCCTCATCTCAGAAAAGCTCTCTTGACATTGGAAAAGGTTCAGAAAAGGGTAACAAAAATGATGAGAGGACTTTTCAGCTTAGAAAAGGGGAGACTAAGGGGAGAGCTGATAGACATGTTATATATTAATGTGTTCTATATGTAGTATAATGCATTGATACAATGTGAGTTGGTAGATACTGATACACTCCTTTCAGGAATGTCCTCTTTTTTGAAAGTTCAAATATGGTCACTATCATGGCTTCTTCCCCACTCTGGCATGATAAATGCAGAAGTGGGGGCCAGCAAAAGTACCCCAAAGCCTTATCTACCAGGCTTTGGTATAAAACATCCCCCCAAAATCTTAATAACCTAGATTTGGGGGATAAAATCTCTGCCACCACCATCCAAAATATTAATAAAGCAGCCTGGGAAAGACGACTTGGGAAATCTCACCCCTAAAGTACAAACCAGGACACACAAAAATTAACCAATACCAGGTTAAGAAAAAAAAAGAGAGAAAGAAAGAACTTTTATTGTCACCACAATATTCCTGTTGCAAGTATAATGACTAGATGGAAAAGTAACAAATAATATACTCACGGAGAAACTCTGCCGTAGGCCTAGAACTTAGTTACAAAGGATTCAAAAGAACGCGGCTGCAGTCTAGACGCAGGTGAAGTTTTTTCGAAAAAAGGCTACTTTTTTCGAAAAAACCCCTGAGTCTGGACACAGCCGTAGAGAGAGAGACATGTCTGTGTCTCTCAGTAACCAGAGAGAAACTGCCCCAGAGACAAAGGAGGGAAAACCCCAAAATTCCTTTGTCCCAGTTTGAAATTCCTACCTACATTTCTGTTGGCTGACTGCCACCTGGTTTAGGTAAGGGACATAGTTAACCCCTTAGTCCCCACGATGCTGACTAACCCTCGTGGTCATGCTGCACTTTAAAGACTAACAAGATGGCAGTAACCAGAGAGAAACTGCCCCAGAGACAAAGGAGGGAAAACCCCAAAATTCCTTTGTCCCAGTTTGAAATTCCTACCTACATTTCTGTTGGCTGACTGCCACCTGGTTTAGGTAAGGGACATAGTTAACCCCTTAGTCCCCACGATGCTGACTAACCCTCATGGTCATGCTGCACTTTAAAGACTAACAAGATGGTTTATTAGGGGATGAGCTTTTGTGGGCCAGACCCACTTCCTCAGATCAAATTGCAGAAGAAAATTTGCATGACCATAGATACCAAAGGGATGCTATCAAAAAAAAGCGAACACATATAAAAAAGACAAATCAAATTTCAGAACAGACAGGGGATGAGTTTCTGGTCTCTGTCAGTGGGATTAGAGCAGATGTGGTTGTATCGAAGGGCTTGACTAAAGATGTATGGTGTATTCTGGATGGGAGTTGGAGGCATGCAGGTAACTGTATGAGTCAGTGGGTTTTCTAATTTACCAATGGTAAATTAGACACCATTCTCTACAGAAAACCCCAT